GCAGTAACTGGGGAGACCATGTTATTTTTGTTGCAGTGGTTTCACTCCAAGAAACAAACGGCTACAAAAGGTGCAATCATGAAATCATGATATGATGATATGACTATTATTATCACGTTATGCATTACTAATCGTATGGTGTATGGTGTTTGTATGGTGTGTTCCTATGCACTACCCACAGGTCCGGTGTGTAAAAAATAGGTTTCGGCCACCGCCGGAGGTGCCGGAAAAACAGCGCTGCGACAGATCGAATTCGCTCGTCTCATCGAGGTGCCAAGTCACATCCGAAGACGACACCTCCACTGCAAAGCTCAAGGGTCAAAAACCAATGACTTGAGATCACTTGAAATCAGTTGAGAAATCAGATGAGAAATAAATTGAAATGATTTGAAATATGCCAAAGTCCTGGAAAGATTTGTTGGATTTGAATCAAACAAACTGCTCACAAGTTTTGATTTAAAAAATCACACCACGGGGCACGGACTGTGTCAGTTACTGACTCAGTTGCAGCAGCATGACATCGTGGATTCAGTCTCCGGCATTTCGCAAACAAGTCTGAGATCAGCAATCGGAAGGCGAGACTTACATCTTACATGTTTCAATTTGGGGTGGCAGGTCTTGGATAGAACCGCAACTTTGAGTCAATAGTTGAGGCAAATGCAAAGTGAAGTGTCACTTCATCTCCATCCACTGTTGGGACCAGCGTCTGTCGATTTCGTGGGTTTGAGATCCCTGCCTTTAAAGAGCCTTCTTGAACCTGGAAATGTTGTAATACAACACATGGTATTACGGGGCACACCTTCACAACCTTCCGCTATGTATGTTTCCATGGCTTGTGGGAACCTTCATGAAGCCTTAGGTACTGTCAGCACTTCGTGCATTTTCTCACGTACATCTTCCACAAGACACACATGCGAAGTAAACGTGTTGCATTCCTCAGTTTGGTGTTGTCAAACTTATCCCTTGATACAATCCAAGACCACTCTGGGAAAGGCTCACGACATAGACTTCCATAGAAAGGGATCCAAAGAGATTAAAGGGATTCAGGCAAAGTTTCTCCCCATCGAGATGGAAATCCAATCAAACAGACATGATTCTGGTTCTTCTGCAACTAACGATGAAGGCAACCGTTTCTTCATGTTTTAAACTTTAACCTCAAAACTGATTGTATGCACCTAAATGCTTCCAGCATCTTCTAGCTAAAAGCATTGTTAATGTGACTCTTGAAATCACAGAGGCAGTGACACGTAGCGAGCCCATCAGGTTGACATGTGCATTGATCGCAGTGCGGAACTCCATTGGAAGATGCAAGAAGACAGGGCCACAACGAAGTTGTGAAGATTTTGGAGGGTGCGGTATCTTGGCTGCACACAGTCGAGTAGAGCAGGTTGATCAGGTTGGTGTTTGATCGCTTCCACCACCGTGCAGCCCTCACATTCACATGTTTGGTACATGTTCTTCGTTAAGATACTTCAATTCAAGCACTGTGATAATGGTCCAGCTGTGCCAGGATGTTTGATGATGTGATTGAGTCAGTGTTCGGCAACTAATTGCTGAGCAAACGGTGTGCTACTGTAGTGTACAGCTGTTCTGTGCTTGAGCTCAACCAGAAAGTCCGTGGAAAAGTTCGATCCAGTCATGCTTTTGGCGTTTAATTCCTCCAGTGGATGTCTCTCTAATGGCCGCTGAAATGAGGCATTGACTGGTCCTAGATGTTAAGATCAAATCTGAGCAGGTTAGGGTCAGCTTTCCTGAAAGTTCACATGGCGCAGTTTTCAGCTCAAACACCAGCAGAGTGTGAAATCGGCAGGTCTTAGACATTCTGCAGGGAACACAGCAAAACTTGAGTGGCAAGGGTTGAATAGGAACTTGACTTTACGCATCAAAGATTCCAAAGTCAGGAACGTTGCCTTTGCAAAGTCATTGGCATTTCCTTGTTCTCGCTGCCAATCCTTCTCCAATCTGTTGCCAAGCCTGTCCGCGCTTGGCCTCAGCTTAAGAGACCATACTCCACCAGACCAGATGCTGAAACAAATCGTAAATCCAAACTCACAAAATATAACCAAACATATATTTGTACCCGAACATTCTCTTGTTGAATTGAGTTTCGGGGCTGAACATTTGGCGCTTTTGGTGAGCCTCATTTTCTGAGGTTCCTCACTGGAACTGCAGGACTCCGGGAGGGGGGCACAGAAAGCTTGGAAATCATCAAAGGTGGAGGGAAAATGCATTGGCTGCCTAGGCTGTTAAACCAAGAAAATCACAAGTTCTTTTGGGCCTCATAGCCCTTGCTGTGGCAGTGTATAGATTTGTAAGTTGTTCCATCAGGCATGATTCTTCATGTATCAATTTTGCCTGTGTACAGGTCGTGGCTGTGCTCTTTCTGAATTAAGCATCCATATCTTGAGCATTTTTCAGTAGACACATGAAGAGGTGGGAAATCGGTTTGCTCTAATAACCCTTTTAGATCCAAACCCATGGCTCCAACTTCCCAAATACAACCAGACATCTGAAAATCTCTCAAAAACAGTTTAAAGAAAGCACCAACTTGAGAGAGAAACACCCATGTCGCCTTCAGGTTTCTGATCGCCATGGGTAGCGGCAGCTCCGTTCCAGCATTTCAGCTGACAACTGAGGAGGCCAAGTGCACCGTCAAAAGGACCTACGACATCTCAGAAGCGTGAGTCTCTAGGATCAGCAGTTGTAAGAATAGAACACCTCATTTGTTTGACATGATTTACCTATTGTTTGCCAACACCAGATATTTGGAGATATTTGGAGATATTTGGACATGTGCAGTCTTTTTGCAATTTGTGGTCACCCCGAATAATGTTTGCGTCCGATAGTTACAAACCCAAACTCCCAAGGCTCTGGGCCTCCAAGATCAAAAATCACTCCAGCCAGCACAAGAAAGTATTAGAACCACAAAAATCACCATAGAGGAAATTTAAAAAAAATCAAAAGCATATGATGTTGTTTTTTACCATTTGGAAAAAAATCTCTACATCTTATGCCTTGGACTGTTCTTTCTTGCTTTATACTATTAAGCCTCTTTGGTGACATTTCCGACGAAAAATAATCTCCTTTTCAGCTGCGGGTGTTCCTCGGGTGATGGACTCATTTAGAGGGGAAAAAACTCTACCCTGGATCCCAAATCACCAAACCCACCACCACCGGCATGTTTGGGATGACTATGAAGGGAAAGCCACAATGGTATTAAGTCCTAAAGCTTTATACATGCTCAAGAGCTCTGAAGGACCGTTGTGACGTTTGAAGGTGATGCAGCCAATGCAAACACATTGACAAGAAATATAAGCCATTTTCCGCGAACCCTCTTCGCAGCATGCTCGTGCTTGCTTGGACAGAAGACATAAACCACTTTCATAAATAAAACACCAAGAAACTCAGAAATATACTTTCACTTCTGGCTAGGGGTATTTGGGTGTCACAATCTGAGAGTCTCATACTTCTGGTCTCACCCGTGGGCAGGCTGCAGCCGTCGATGCTTTTGTGGCTGCCGGTGTGGCGGAGGCGAAAATCTTGCAAATGTCGGGACGGCCTGCCATGTGGGTCATTGTAAGTCCAGGATTTTGTACAGTGAGAAATTACGACAATTTAACATCTAATGATCGGCAAATCAGAAGCAATTGTTGCGGACATGCAGCCACACAGAGGAAAAGTCAGGCTTTGGGTTCTTGCAACTTCGGGTTTGCTGGGTTTGGTAACAGGGGGATGTCATCCAGGATGATAAAATATGATGCTGAACCTAGTGGGTTGTGCCATGTCCTGCTGCGCTTTTGCAAGGTCCCAAGTCTTGCGAGAAGAGTGGAGGAGCTGCAGGCATAGTCGACTACATCGAACAGCAATTCAGCAACACTTTAAGTTCCACCTAAAGCCCAGAGATTTAGTTTGCATTAAAAATGCCCGTGCATTTGAAGCGATTTGATGATCGACATCAGTGTTTGAAGATGGGACAACTTATTGCAGCAGTCGTGGCAGGCTGGAGCTCAAGAGTCGGAGAGACTCATAGAAGGGGTGGCACAAGAACAACTCCAAGAAGAGGCGCCCATCCAAGATCCTGAGATGTAAATTGTTATTGTTTTTAGCTTGACCTTAAAATGATGCTGAATGGAGCAGGTTGTCACTTCCGTCTACAGATGAGTGCAAGATAAATGACAGCAATGACAAGCAAATTTCAACTGCACGACCCCCCCAAATCGATATTTAAGATATATCCATGATCTTTACCTCATGGTCCCTTTGTATCCAACTCTGGCTCTATTTTGGCGTTGCTATATCCTGAAACGTCAACGCCAAAGCTCTGAGAAATGTCGAAGTGATTCGGCTCTTTGGATTTTCTTCTCCCAAAATGCAGATGCCGTTGAGTGCTGAACTTTAGTGCTTGAGCTTCAGGAAACGAGGCAACAAATCCCTACAACTTGAATTTCACCATTTAAATCAAGATTCACACGCATTTGTCATGTGATAGTAGTCGGCTCAGCGGATAAATCCCGTTGATCTGGAGATGGATGAAGTTCAGAGCTTCTTTCGTGTTGGAACAATCCAATTTGGAACATCTTAGGTCGAAATTCTTCCCAGATGTTTCCAGTATAAACCGGAAGAATCGCAGCCACACGTGTGCTTTGTTGGTCAGATTGTTTTGCCATGTATCCTGGACAAAGAAGGACCCGTTGGTAGCGTGGGTGTTGTAGGTTCGCTCATTGCGTCAAGCTGAAGCTGCTGCAGCTCGGCGCATTGAAGAACTAGAAAGTCGATTGCGAGAGGCGTGGTCAATATTGTCCATGCATGTCCATTCTAGATTCTTTCTGCTGCCTTTCCAAGTCACAAGATTGTAGACATTGTTGACAGACAGATGTCACAGCATTGAATTGTAGAAAATACATGCCATACTCAAAGATCCTGCACATCAGTCACACATCCAACTAGGCATCCGGGATGATCCCACATCTGTATCTTCTGTCGTGCTCAGAGTCTGGAAGGCCGAAGCTAATGAGTCGCAGAGGCTCCGAGAAGAGGTTGCGCAACTCCAAGAAGAGGTGCCATACCGAAGACATTCCAAGACTTGTTCCAAACCCGAGGTACACAGGTTGCACCAATGACTCCACAGTATGATATTTGCCATGTGTCCTCTGTTATGTCAGTCTGTCTTATGATGCGATCTGGACACTGGAACGTTCTCAAACGTAGCTAATATAATGTAATACTTTAGAATACTTTAGACTTAGACATACTTCAGACCCCAAGCACGAAGAAGGACTCATCAATGTTTACAGGTCCGCTCGTTTCCTCAAGCAGATGCTGCTGCAGCACAAAACGTTCAAGAACCAGAAAATCGTTTGCCACAGGTGCCATCAAATAGACTTCGCTTGAGCAGATGCGTAAAACTTTTGCAGCATATTATGCGAAACAGGCGAAACAGAAGAACAACAGAAAATTATAGACTGAAGATTTCGAGAGGATCGAGTCCGAATTATCGAAAGTAGATTTCGATCAGGGACATCCTGCTGTTAGAGAATTCTCATTTTCCAGTACCTGAAATCTTGGAATTCTTCTCAGTGCACAACAGTCACAAGCAAGTTACACCTGAACCACAGCTGTATGAGCAGCGAAACTTTCACCCTGTTGGATAGGTTGACGTTCAAGAACCTCATCTGTACTTCACGTTGCGAGACAAGCCTGCCATCCTGGAGAAAACGGCCGACATCCCCTACCACGGCCACATCAAGCAGGAAGAAGGTTTAGACTGCTACGTGTCCTTTCCTGGCAAATATGCAGCCGGTTGGGATGCATTGATCAAGGAACACCACGGACAATCCGTGGCATGCGTGTTCCTGTGCACTCCAGCTGATGGCCTTGGAAAGCACTATAAAGAAGAAGTTGGTGGCCAGTGCTATTGCCCCACAATTTATGGGCAGCGGGACTTCAGGACTTTCGGTTACTTGAAAGAGCTGCCAGCATCTTGTAGCGAAGCAGAGGAGAAGATTGAGGTAGAGAAGGCGAAAGCCACGAAGACTGTTGTGGTTCGATCAGATGCCAGCGACAAAGACAAACAAGAAGCTGAAGAGAAAGCACGACAAGCTTGGGAGGACAGTGGCAGAGTTGCCTCCTGGGGATGCGAATGGTTCCACACGTGGAAGAAGCAGGTGGCCGAAGCCGTGAGGTTGAAGCAACGTCTCAAGGTAGTGTTCTTCCCTGCACAGACTGGCAAAGGTATAGTTTCTTTTGAGGATTTGAACAGAGATGATGTAAATCTTTGGGATGGAGTTGGCTGCGGTGGGAGCCAAAAGTGCGAAATCGCATACTTGGAGCGGATGAGGCAGCAGCAAGGAGAGGCTTGGAATTATGATCATGTGGACGTCAGCCATTTCCTGAAGGAAGAGTTTATAGTTGGCGCTAAAGTTGATGCGTGGGACGGCAAGCTGTGGTGCAGAGGGACTCTAGTTGGTGTTCCCTCAGCGATACCAAAGAAACCTGAGGACGCCAGATGGACAATACAGTCCCAAACGAGCGGTCACCTGTTTGTAACAGATCGTGTCAGGCATGCAGATTTTATTCAAACCATGCTTGCAGAAGTTGGACGTGAAAAGTTCATGGGCCTAGTGAAAGACTCGCTACCGACAGAAGTGGCAATAGTGAAGGATCAGGAGTTTGTATTCCCAGACGGCAGTCCATCACTAGCCATCAGACTTCGCATCCAGCATATCGAGTTGCTGCAATACATGCGCAATTTGGTCTTGAGCAATGACCTGGAAATCAAGATAAACAAAGCTTTGACAAAGTGGCAAGTACGTGTGGACAAGACCTTTTTCTGCAAAGCTTTTGAAGCCGAGCTGGTAAACTTGTCAGATCTTACTGACCACCAGAAACAGAAGCTTGCAGATATCAAGGAGCTCATGAAACATGGGGATGTCCATCTATCTGCTCCTGCCATTTTGGCTCAAGCCATTTTGGCTCAAGGTTTGTAGCCAAGCTGGGAGGCATTTCGGGCGCACTTTTAAAGCCATGGCGGGCTTGTTCAAAGCCATGCTGGCGGTGCTGGCCCTGTGCAGCGGAGGTGAGATGAACAGAGATGACGATGGACAATGGTTTGTGCAATGCCGGGTGTATTGCATCTTACTCACTGTCCCTTTTTTTGTGCTAGCTACTTCGTGAGGTATCAATTCGTTGCATTGAATTTGAATTTTGACGTCCTTGCAATCTTTTCTGGTGTGTGTATGGGTATGGCTGCGGTTTCAAGACGTTTGTGCAGTTTGTGCAGTAAAGCCGGTAAGATTGAATGGATGATGCAAAGTTGGAGCCGGATTTTCCACATCGTGAACTTGGTGAGGAAAACTGTGTGTGGGAGAAAAGTGTGGTGGCCTCTCTTGAAGATTATGGTGATTTTAACAGGTTGTGCTTGTTTTTGCTGGCTTGAGCTGTCACCGTGGAGCTTCAAGTTCTATCTGCGCTTCGTGGCTATGTGGTCCACTGCTTGGATGCATTTGTGGGACCTTTGGGGCTCTTTTGCTGCTTTTGTATTCTTCCACGTCAAAGCCATGATTTTGCAGACTCATGCTTCGTGTGTTTCTGGACACACCGTGGATGGTTTTCAGGCAACTCCTGGATTCGAAATACCGGTGAATTGCGTTGCGCAGATGGTTGACACGGATTTCAAACCAACTTGGAATCATGGTTTGCTGTCAGCTGTGGCGATGATGTCTTATTATTTCGTGACCCTTTGGCAATTTTGCTCCACTAGGACATGCAAGCTTGTTTCATGGGCGAGCGTTTTTACAATGATGATTTCTGGGTTGGTTTTTTGCAACCGATCTCTTTGCCATGTCACGCAAAGGCCTCAGATTGCTGAGGTTGTCTCTGCAGTATCACAGTGGTGCCAGCAGTTTCAATTCACAGGTGCCGATCTTGTTTGTTTAGGCCTCAGTTTAATTTGTGTGCGATGTTTCAGACAAGCCGTCATTTGGAGTTTCCAAACCAGACATGATGCTTCTGTTGCATACATGAAGAAGCACGTTTTGCGAAATGCCGCGGTCGTATTTTGCTTGCATACTTGTTTGTCCAATCCGACCAGCCTCTCTTTCGTTTTCGCCGGGGCCTACAAGGTCCTTGTCCTGATGTGCGGAAAGAAGAGAATAGTAGGTTGTGGAATAGCACTCCTTGGCATCATGCTCATGCGAATGTTGTTTTCAATGCATCGGTTCCTCACATGGAATGCACAGAAAGCGCTGCTGTGGTTCTGTCATCTGGCATGCAAGATCATGGTCATCGCTTTCTTTTCCGAAAGCTGTTGACTGAACCTTCTTTTGTGAATCTGCTTTTGATTGGTTTAGGGGTTGACTTCATCGATTTGGTGACATTAGCTGTTTTCAGGATAATGCTGTCACTTCACCATTTGAATGCAAGGCCAAAGAAAGTCTTCAAGTGCAGAAGAGTTGGCCGAAAGCGCTGCCGATTGCATCGTAAGAGCATCCGAAAGCCAAGAGTCAGTTTGTTTAATAGGGTAGGCCGTTTCCTGTCCTTTTGCGTACGTGCGCAGTTTTGCCCATTCTGTCAAAACATGCCTGAGCATTCGCAAGCCTCCCCGCCCAAATCTGCCTTCCGCGGGGGAGGTCGTAGAAACAGTCCAGAGACACCGGAACAGAAACTGCTGCAAGGTTTGCAGAATTTGTTAAAAGATACTTTGCAGGCCTCTAGCTCCGGAGCCTCAAACAAAAAAGGCAAGGGTAAGGGCTCCGGCAAAAGTAGTGGTAAAAGCCTACCTTCCAAACAGAGAGATGCGAACCATGATGGCAGCTATGGGCTGATTCAAGCCTTGCAAAAGCTAACTGCTCGAGCTGCAAAGAAACCACAAGGGTTGCTCCAAAGGTTGAAAACATTGGTTCAAGTTACTGAACGTGGTATGTTACGACCAAACAGGAGAAAGAAAGATCTGCCGCCGCATGAGGCGGTCCCGCCAGTGAAACCAAGCACACGATTCAAAAGTTCAGAGAATTTGGTAGATGGTGCTCCTAAGCCAAAAACACGATGGCAACGCGACAGATCCTGGAAAGCCCGTGCCCAGGACTGGGGCGTCAAAACTGTTTTGCGTGGCCCCACAGCTCTGTGCAACGCTCTTGACAGTGGGGACACCGGTGCTCTCCTGTGTCAAGTACAAAATCTGGATGATTGGAATGAAGCCCTCCAAATTTCTCATGCTGCTGGTCGCACCAATGTCACGGTTGTTCTTGAAGCTGCACCTAACATGTCTCCAGAACTTGGCAAATTGAGATATCATGGTTGGACAGCCTTGAACACACGTGCAGCTGGTTATGCCGATGATAAATTGGTCCAGCGCTTGGTTTGGATTGCGCGGTGCTCGCCAAATGCACCCACATTGGTTCCAGGATCCGTGCTGACAGGCGCCAGGCGGCCTGTTGTCCAGAAACGCGGCCATGAAGAGTCTTTTGTTTTTCGAATTAGTTGTGACATGCGATTTATTGCCAGTGACAATCGCCAACACATCACACAGGGACCTGGAAAATTTTTCCGTTTGTGGCTGTCTGATTTGGGCCCAAACGCTAGGGATCTTCTGCTTCACCTTGGTGACACGTGGGGATTCCAAAAACTCGAGGCTGAAAACCTGGTTCGAGGATTTGCTCGCGTCAAAGGCAAAGACAGGGCCCTGCAGTTGATTAAAGCGAGCGGCTCAGAACACAAAGGTCAGGTTTGGTTTCTTGATCCTGCCAGATGGGATGGCCTCGCAGAAACACCTCCACGCATGCTTTGGGTGGACAAACTGGAAAATGAACAACAAATTGCATTTGCTCGTCGCGTAGCTCATGATTCGGGTCCTTTTGGCATGGCTAGGGGTCGTGTACAGCTGGCTCTCAGGGTCAAACCGGACGATGAGCGGCTCAAACCCACTTCTAGTGTTTGGCGGGTTGAGACAGTGCCGTTTGGTTGGGATTTTGAAAATGTGGAAGAAACTCTGGTTGAAGCAGGTTTCTCTGAAATTGATATTTTAGCAAAGCAACGCCGTCGTGGTGGCACTGCTTGGGTTTTCAAAGGCATGAGAAATGATGACCGTGATCAAATGCAAATCCATTATGATGCGGACGAGACGTGCAATGAGCCACCATTAGATCTGTTTTTAGTTAAGCAGTCCAAACGACGTGCGCCAGGAAATGTCCAGCCGTTGAAAGCAGAAAATGATGTGCTCTTTTCACTAGATGCATTTCACAAAAAAGGTAAGGGTAAAGGCAAAGGAAAAGGCAAGCACAAATCCAAGCTTGAAGTGCCTGACTTTGCAACCACGCTTGCCTTACCGAAAAGTAGTCCACCTCCATTACCCTCCAAGGATGATCGCGGTAACGAAGCTATGGATGTCAGTCTGATTAGCGTCCCAGATGCAAGTGATGTTGAGGATGAGCCCATGCATGTCCAGGGCACCAAACGCAAAGACCAGGCCATGTTGACCAGCCCGCAAAAAACTGGTCATGACAAAAAGAGGATGAAAGTGCCCGAGAGGCTTCAAAAAGTTCCGAACCCTGGGGAAGGGAATTGCTTGTTTTACTGTCTAGCTCAGGCGGAGTCTACCCCAGGTAAGTCCCGCAGCCACAGGCAGGTGCGTGCATTTGTTGTTGCCTACATGACCAAACACTTCAAGAAATACGAGGATTTCTGGGACGGTTTAAGCCCGAGCAACATTCCCATGGAGGGTGGGTTTGACGATTATTTACAAGCCCTTGAAAAAGATAAAGCTTGGGCGGGATATTGTGAAATCGAAGCATATGGCGAAGCCATGCGCCGACCTGTACTTGTTGTGCATGCCAAGGACAATGTTGTCCATGCTTTTAATAGTCATGGCGATAAGGATGTTGTCTGTCTCTGGTACAAGGATGAACATTATGAGCTTATTGTTCCTTCAGACGCAGATATTCAGGCCCTGTGGCAGAATGCTGAAGACGGTGGCACCAAGGGTTACCGCGGGGCCGCAAAGAAGGCACGCTTGGCTGCCGACAATGCCTCTATTTGCCTTTCACAATTTGCAACTCCCAAATCCAGCAGGCCAAGCCCAAGGTTGACCGATTTTGCCCAGAGCACCCCTGCCAAACGGAGTGCATGTCTGACTGATTTTGCATCAACGGCCAAACCGAGCCGTCAAAAGACCGAGCAATCAGAAGCCGAGCCAAGTGGTTCCAACCCATCTGCCGCATCAGCTTCTGCGTCTGTTGCCACTGGGCGCGACCGGGAAATCACGTGGACATGTCACATTTGCAACGTCTCTTTCACTGACAAAGCATGCATCGTTTCAAAAAGACGTACGGATCACATTAGGCGTACGCATCGTGGTACCCCAACCACCAATTTTAAAAAGGCTGTTGATCAGTACAGGGCTCCGGTTACTGCCGTATCGTATGGGCCCACTCATGCTGCTGTTTCTTGGACTTGTGGTTTTTGCATGGGCACCCTCCCCATTTTGCCTAAGACACATCAGAAAGCATCAATCGTTGCTCATTTGCGCTCCTGCGCCAAGGCCCCAAAAGGGGCCACCAGAGGCGACTCCATTCTTCGCCTTTGCAAGAGAGCAAGCGTGTCATCTGATGTACCTCACAGAAGCATTTTGCCTTGGAAGCTGAAGCATCGCCAGATGTATGTGCAACTCAACAAGTTTGCCAAGGAGCAAGGACACTCCTTATCCCAAGTGCAGAGACGTACTACTGGAACGAAAAAATTGGCTGGTGGGTCGAAAAAAGTTATTTTCTTCATGGCTCAGCATGCTTGTTCCATTTGTGCTGGTTACTGGAAAACTGAGAAGTCCGTGAGAGCTGCAGGTCCTTGTGGCGGGCGGACTGCTCGTGCCGAGTGGTTAGCCATGCCTGGTCGCCAAAAATGCTGGCGTCAGGCTCCCAAAGAGCGCCAAGAGGCGCTGCACAAGGCTTGGCGTTTGAGTGCTACCGAGCGTAGGAAGCTTGATGATGCTTGGGCTAGTGCCAAGAAAAAGTCGCGCAAGAAGTGGCCGCCTAAGTCATGGAAACGCGATTTGACTGCCGAGAATATTCACCCCCATCCAGGCCCAGGCCATCCTGACCACTGGATTCTCTCGTGGAATTGCCGTGGATCGTGCAATGCTTGGAGGGGCCTAAACTTGCTTCAGGATGAGGGTAACTTGCCTTCTGTTTTATGTCTTCAAGAGCCTGACTTCGAGCCTCGTCAAGGCTCCCAGTATGTTGAAAGGCTTCAGAAACATGGGTACAAGTGTTGGACCATTCCGGCCAAACCTATTCGCACACTTAAACGTGAATTTTACCGAGGTGGTCTTTTGGTTGCATTGCGAGAGCATCTCAGAGGAGGCATCTGGGACACACTGGCTTGCGATGAAGGGTATGTCATGACTTTGGATCTTCAATCGTGCCTACTTTCCTCAGTTTGGCGTCGGCCAAGCCAACTTGATGGTTTGCAATTTTTGGAATATGTTGCTACGGTCACTGAAGAAGCACAACGCAGGCAGATACCTGCACTTTGGGTAGGTGATTGGAACGAAACTCCTGATGACAACGCCGCATCCATTTTCTTGAATGGCAGTGTTCTGGCTGTCACGGATCCTGATCAATGGGTGCCTAGCCGGTTCGAAGGTAAAAGATGTCTTGATTACGGAATTCTCAGCGGCGGGTACGGTTTTGCTGATTGCCCGCGTTACAGTGAATGTAAGATTTCTGATCACAAGATGTTTTGGCTTAGATTGCGCTTGCCCATTTTCCTGACTGATACGTGGAGGTTCGCTTGGCGGCCTAACTATGAATGTCCTCCGGAAGTGCCTGTTGAGCAATGGCGGGCCGTGCTTGCAGAACAATGGGCCGCTTACGTGCCATGTTTTTCTCAGGATCCCGACCAAGATTGGGAATATTTTCACCAGTTTGCTGAAAAGAGCATGCGTGAAGCATTGCACTTGTGTGGCCAGCCCGTGCCTAGGCCAGGCCATGCGCGCGGGAATTTGCCTCGTGTGATCAAGGCTGAACGCCCCCAGGTCAATACGTTCCCTGCCAGAAAACTTGTTAATGTGCTTGGTCGTCTCTATGAAGTGAAGCGACAGTTAGCCAAGTCCCAGGGAGACAAAAAGCTTTTGCAAAAATTATGGTCGACTTGGCCGTCTGAATACAATGAGCTTTGGGGGTCTTGGAACCACGCTATTGAAGTGTTTGAACAACGCATTGCGCTTGAAAACAGGAAGTCCAAGAACCAAAGGCTGACCGAGTGGCGTACCAGAATGCGCCAGGGGGGCAAAGAGGTGACCCGGTGGATGAAGCCTCACAAACCTCCAACACCACGCTCTGTTTCCGAAGATTCTTGCGCCACGATCACGCAAACCCTTGATTGTATTCGTTCTTTTTGGCGGCGTATTTGGAAACGTGATGACCTCGTTCCACACTTACCCCCAGAATTTAGAACAATGGAAGCCCTGGCTGGACCCCAAACTGATTGGATGCCAGATGCTGCCCTCATCCATCAGGCCGCTCTCAGAGCCTCGGGGTCTGCGGCCGGATGTGACGGTTGGTCCGGCAGCGAAGTTTGCCATTTCCCGCTTGTTGCTTGGGATCACTACCGTGATTTGGTTTTGCATTGGTCTCAGTTAAAACAATTCCCACAGGCATGGCTGCAGGTTCGTCAGGTTCATTTAAGAAAGGATGACGGTGGGACTGTAGGGTCTTTGCGGCCTATTGCAGTTGAAAGCATTTTTCTTCGGTTGGTCTCCTCATCTTATGTGAGGCCCCACAGGTTCAGGAATGGATTGCGTCTCGGGTCCCCGAGCAGTGCCATGGAGGCTTGAAATCCCGGGGGGTTGCCACGGCATGGAGGCAACTCAATGAAGCGTTTGAAAACCAGGAAGTTCTTGCTTCTTTAGATTTCTCCAAATGTTTTGATTTTGTCCACCCAGGTTTGGCCATTGAAAACATGCAACTGCAAGGGTTGCCAGATGAGTGGGCTAACATTTTGATGTTTGTATGGGGTCATCAAGTGCGATGGCTGTGCTTGGGGAAAGCTGTGCACCCAACGCCGGAGCATGTCCAGACCTCCATGCCGCAAGGTGATGCCTTTGCACCTCTGGCTCTTATCATGTTGCTCATTAGGCCCCTTCATGATGTGTCTTCCATTCCAGACTTGCGTCAGGTTGCATACGTTGATGATCGCGCTTTGAGCGCGCCTAATGTTCCACGTTTAATTGCTGGCATCCATAGATGGCGCAGCTGGAGTGCCACTTTGGGTCTCCATGAAAACGTTCAAAAAATGCGTTTAGTTGCCTGCACTGCGCAACAAAAGCAAGAGATCAATGACGCAGGGTTTGGTGAGTATCTCCGACCGGCCACTCGGGTCTTAGGTATTGACTTTAAGGAAAGTGACCTTATTGTTTCCCCTGTTCTTGAAAACCGTTTGCAAGAAGCAGTGTTTGCCGCTCACCGTTTGCAGAAATTGCCGGTTGCCCGCGATATCAGGATGTCTTTGTACAGGTCCAGAATCATTTCACTCGCCACCTGGGGCGCTTGGTTTGAACGATTGCCGCAGTCACAGTTGCCTTCGCTTCGAAAGGCATGGCATGCCATTTCCTATCTGCAAGGTAACGCTTCGAGACCTCTTTTCAACTTGCTTGTAGGTCATATGTATCATGCTGAGTTTTGGGCCACCATGTCTTCCATTCGGACCATGCGCCAAGTTCGTGCCCTTTGGCGAAGGATGCCACGACCTGGAGGCTGGCAGAGTTTCATTTGCGCACGCATGCGAGAGCTGAACTGGGAATTTCGCGGTCCATGGATGTTTGCACATGAGGATTTGGGTCATGTCGATTTATCCAATCCAGATGAAGCTGTTGTGAAACTCACCGAGCACAAGGTGAGAGAAAGTTGGCGCCGAGTGCAATTTGCCCTTTGGAAAAAGCAGAGCCGCCGTGATAGGCATTATTTGCTTGATGTGCCGTATGAGGAAAGTCGTGTTTCCGATGCCCGCAAGTTGTTCTCTCTCACGTGTGATAGTCATCAGAGGGCCGTAATGCTCGGTTCTGCGCATTCCACGGCATGTTATGATAAGATGCGTGGACACGAAGTGAGGGAACAATGTCCCTTTTGCGGTGAGCAAATCCCACCTGTCTGGGAACATCTCTCCTGGCATTGCTCCGCCGAACAGTTGTCTTCCGGCCGCCCTGAGGTCCCTGAAGGTGAATTGCAAAATCGTCTTGCTTGGCCCACACGTGGGTGTGATGCCTATGATAGAGCGGTTCTTCACCACATGGCCCGGGTCAGGGCCACTGTGCGTGAAAACATGAATTGATCATGTCCCGTTGGCTGCGGTGTCCGGTACCTTCGGGTATTTGAGGCATCCAGTCGTTCAACCCATAATGTCCAGCCGTTGAAAGCAGAAAATGATGTGCTCTTTTCACTAGATGCATTTCACAAAAAAGGTAAGGGTAAAGGCAAAGGAAAAGGCAAGCACAAATCCAAGCTTGAAGTGCCTGACTTTGCAACCACGCTTGCCTTACCGAAAAGTAGTCCACCTCCATTACCATCCAAGGATGATCGCGGTAACGAAGCTATGGATGTTAGTCTGATTAGCGTCCCAGATGCAAGTGATGTTGAGGATGAGCCCATGCATGTCCAGGGCACCAAACGCAAAGACCAGGCCATGTTGACCAGCCCGCAAAAAACTGGTCATGACAAAAAGAGGATGAAAGTGCCCGAGAGGCTTCAAAAAGTTCCGAACCCTGGGGAAGGGAATTGCTTGTTTTACTGTCTAGCTCAGGCGGAGTCTACCCCAGGTAAGTCCCGCAGCCACAGGCAGGTGCGTGCATTTGTTGTTGCCTACATGACCAAACACTTCAAGAAATACGAGGATTTCTGGGACGGTTTAAGCCCGAGCAACATTCCCATGGAGGGTGGGTTTGACGATTATTTACAAGCCCTTGAAAAAGATAAAGCTTGGGCGGGATATTGTGAAATCGAAGCATATGGCGAAGCCATGCGCCGACCTGTACTTGTTGTGCATGCCAAGGACAATGTTGTCCATGCTTTTAATAGTCATGGCGATAAGGATGTTGTCTGTCTCTGGTACAAGGATGAACATTATGAGCTTATTGTTCCTTCAGACGCAGATATTCAGGCCCTGTGGCAGAATGCTGAAGACGGTGGCACCAAGGGTTACCGCGGGGCCGCAAAGAAGGCACGCTTGGCTGCCGACAATGCCTCTATTTGCCTTTCACAATTTGCAACTCCCAAATCCAGCAGGCCAAGCCCAAAGTTGACCGATTTTGCCCGGAGCACCCCTGCCAAACGGAGTGCATGTCTGACTGATTTTGCATCAACGGCCAAACCGAGCCGTCAAAAGACCGAGCAATCAGAAGCCGAGCCATGTGGTTCCAACCCATCTGCCGCATCAGCTTCTGCGTCTGTTGCCACTGGGCGCGACCGGGAAATCACGTGGACATGTCACATTTGCAACGTCTCTTTCACTGACAAAGCATGCATCGTTTCAAAAAGACGTACGGATCACATTAGGCGTACGCATCGTGGTACCCCAACCACCAATTTTAAAAATGCTGTTGATCAGTACAGGGCTCCGGTTACTGCCGTATCGTATGGGCCCACTCATGCTGCTGTTTCTTGGACTTGTGGTTTTTGCATGGGCACCCTCCCCATTTTGCCTAAGACACATCAGAAAGCATCAATCGTTGCTCATTTGCGCTCCTGCGCCAAGGCCCCAAAAGGGGCCACCAGAGGCGACTCCATTCTTCGCCTTTGCAAGAGAGCAAGCGTGTCATCTGATGTACCTCACAGAAGCATTTTGCCTTGGAAGCTGAAGCATCGCCAGATGTATGTGCAACTCAACAAGTTTGCCAAGGAGCAAGGACACTCCCTATCCCAAGTGCAGAGACGTACTACTGGAACGAAAAAATTGGCTGGTGGGTCGAAAAAAGTTATTTTCTTCATGGCTCAGCATGCTTGTTCCATTTGTGCTGGTTACTGGAAAACTGAGAAGTCCGTGAGAGCTGCAGGTCCTTGTGGCGGGCGGACTGCTCGTGCCGAGTGGTTAGCCATGCCTGGTCGCCAAAAATGCTGGCGTCAGGCTCCCAAAGAGCGCCAAGAGGCGCTGCACAAGGCTTGGCGTTTGAGTGCTACCGAGCGTAGGAAGCTTGATGATGCTTGGGCTAGTGCCAAGAAAAAGTCGCGCAAGAAGTGGCCGCCTAAGTCATGGAAACGCGATTTGACTGCCGAGAATATTCACCCCCATCCAGGCCCAGGCCATCCTGACCACTGGATTCTCTCGTGGAATTGCCGTGGATCGTGCAATGCTTGGAGGGGCCTAAACTTGCTTCAGGATGAGGGTAACTTGCCTTCTGTTTTATGTCTTCAAGAGCCTGACTTCGAGCCTCGTCAAGGCTCCCAGTATGTTGAAAGGCTTCAGAAACTTGGGTACAAGTGTTGGACCATTCCGGCCAAACCTATTCGCACACTTAAACGTGAATTTTACCGAGGTGGTCTTTTGGTTGCATTGCGAGAGCATCTCAGAGGAGGCATCTGGGACACACTGGCTTGCGATGAAGGGTATGTCATGACTTTGGATCTTCAATCGTGCCTACTTTCCTCAGTTTGGCGCCGGCCAAGCCAACTTGATGGTTTGCAATTTTTGGAATATGTTGCTACGGTCACTGAAGAAGCACAACGCAGGCAGATACCTGCACTTTGGGTAGGTGATTGGAACGAAACTCCTGATGACAACGCCGCATCCATTTTCTTGAATGGCAGTGTTCTGGCTGTCACGGATCCTGATCAATGGGTGCCTAGCCGGTTCGAAGGTAAAAGATGTCTTGATTACGGAATTCTCAGCGGCGGGTACGGTTTTGCTGATTGCCCGCGTTACAGTGAATGTAAGATTCCTGATCACAAGATGTTTTGGCTTAGATTGCGCTTGCCCATTTTCCAGACTGATACGTGGAGGTTCGCTTGGCGGCCTAACTATGAATGTCCTCCGGAAGTGCCTGTTGAGCAATGGCGGGCCGTGCTTGCAGAACAATGGGCCGCTTACGTGCCATGTTTTTCTCAGGATCCCGACCAAGATTGGGCATATTTTCACCAGTTTGCTGAAAAGAGCATGCGTGAAGCATTGCACTTGTGTGGCCAGCCCGTGCCTAGGCCAGGCCATGCGCGCGGGAATTTGCCTCGTGTGATCAAGGCTGAGCGCCCCCAGGTGAATACGTTCCCTGCCAGAAAACTTGTTAATGTGCTTGGTCGTCTCTATGAAGTGAAGCGACAGTTAGCCAAGTCCCAGGGAGACAAAAAGCTTTTGCAAAAATTATGGTCGACTTGGCCGTCTGAATACAATGAGCTTTGGGGGTCTTGGAACCACGCTATTGAAGTGTTTGAACAACGCATTGCGCTTGAAAACAGGAAGTCCAAGAACCAAAGGCTGACCGAGTGGCGTACCAGAATGCGCCAGGGGGGCAAAGAGGTGACCCGGTGGATGAAGCCTCACAAACCTCCAACACCACGCTCTGTTTCCGAAGATTCTTGCGCCACGATCACGCAAACCCTTGATTGTATTCGTTCTTTTTGGCAGCGTATTTGGAAACGTGATGACCTCGTTCCACACTTACCCCCGGAATTTAGAACAATGGAAGCCCTGGCTGGACCCCAAACTGATTGGATGCCAGATGCTGCCTCATCCATCAGGCCGCTCTCAGAGCCTCGGGGTCTGCAGCCGGATGTGACGGTTGGTCCGGCAGCGAAGTTTGCCATTTCCCGCTTGTTGCTTGGGATCACTACCGTGATTTGGTTTTGCATTGGTCTCAGTTAAAACAATTCCCACAGGCATGGCTGCAGGTTCGTCAGGTTCATTTAAGAAAGGATGACGGTGGGACTGTAGGGTCTTTGCGGCCTATTGCAGTTGAAAGCATTTTTCTTCGGTTGGTCTCCTCATCTTATGTGAGGGCCCCACAGGTTCAGGAATGGATTGCGTCTCGGGTCCCCGAGCAGTGCCATGGAGGCTTGAAATCCCGGGGGGTTGCCACGGCATGGAGGCAACTCAATGAAGCGTTTGAAAACCAGGAAGTTCTTGCTTCTTTAGATTTCTCCAAATGTTTTGATTTTGTCCACCCAGGTTTGGCCATTGAAAACATGCAACTGCAAGGGTTGCCAGATGAGTGGGCTAACATTTTGATGTTTGTATGGGGTCATCAAGTGCGATGGCTGTGCTTGGGGAAAGCTGTGCACCCAACGCCGGAGCATGTCCAGACCTCCATGCCGCAAGGTGATGCCTTTGCACCTCTGGCTCTTATCATGTTGCTCATTAGGCCCCTTCATGATGTGTCTTCCATTCCAGACTTGCGTCAGGTTGCATACGTTGATGATCGCGCTTTGAGCGCGCCTAATGTTCCACGTTTAATTGCTGGCATCCATAGATGGCGCAGCTGGAGTGCCACTTTGGGTCTCCATGAAAACGTTCAAAAAATGCGTTTAGTTGCCTGCACTGCGCAACAAAAGCAAGAGATCAATGACGCAGGGTTTGGTGAGTATCTCCGACCGGCCACTCGGGTCTTAGGTATTGACTTTAAGGAAAGTGACCTTATTGTTTCCCCTGTTCTTGAAAACCGTTTGCAAGAAGCAGTGTTTGCCGCTCACCGTTTGCAGAAATTGCCGGTTGCCCGCGATATCAGGATGTCTTTGTACAGGTCCAGAATCATTTCACTCGCCACCTGGGGCGCTTGGTTTGAACGATTGCCGCAGTCACAGTTGCCTTCGCTTCGAAAGGCATGGCATGCCATTTCCTATCTGCAAGGTAACGCTTCGAGACCTCTTTTCAACTTGCTTGTAGGTCATATGTATCATGCTGAGTTTTGGGCCACCATGTCTTCCATTCGGACCATGCGCCAAGTTCGTGCCCTTTGGCGAAGGATGCCACGACCTGGAGGCTGGCAGAGTTTCATTTGCGCACGCATGCGAGAGCTGAACTGGGAATTTCGCGGTCCATGGATGTTTGCACATGAGGATTTGGGTCATGTCGATTTATCCAATCCAGATGAAGCTGTTGTGAAACTCACCGAGCACAAGGTGAGAGAAAGTTGGCGCCGAGTGCAATTTGCCTTTTGGAAAAAGCAGAACCGCCGTGATAGGCATTATTTGCTTGATGTGCCGTATGAGGAAAGTCGTGTTTCCGATGCCCGCAAGTTGTTCTCTCTCACGTGTGATAGTCATCAGAGGGCCGTAATGCTTGGTTCTGCGCATTCCACGGCATGTTATGATAAGATGCGTGGACACGAAGTGAGGGAACAATGTCCCTTTTGCGGTGAGCAAATCCCACTTGTCTGGGAACATCTCTCCTGGCATTGCTCCGCCGAACAGTTGTCTTCCGGCCGCCCTGAGGTCCCTGAAGATGAATTGCAAAATCGTCTTGCTTGGCCCACACGTGGGTGTGATGCCTATGATAGAGCGGTTCTTCACCACATGGCCCGGGTCAGGGCCACTGTGCGTGAAAACATGAATTGATCATGTCCCGTTGGCTGCGGTGTCCGGTACCTTCGGGTATTTGAGGCATCCAGTCGTTCAACCCATAATAATATCTGCTCCTGCAGGCGCAGGGAAGACCTTCGTAGCTGCGCAGTGTGCACTGGATAAGCTCAGGAGCAGTCCAGATGGTAAAATCTTGTTCGTGGCGCCTTCCATTGCCCTTGGCCTCTACTTCGTGCGGTGGCTCGCTCAAAGCTCTTCAAACCGCGGGCAGCTTCACAAGTTGTTGTGGCGCATTGTGTTGATGGAGCCCCAAAGCCAAGCTTTTTTGAGCTTGCGTATCAAAGGCGACCGTTTTGACTGGATTCCGTTGCCCAACAGCAAAATGAGATTTCTCTTGACAATCATCGATGAGGCACACGATTTTTTCTGTACAGATGGGAACCGCACTTTTCTGGAAGAGAAGATTGAGGCACCACGACAAGTGTTGCTCTTGTCGAGTGTATCCCAAAACTCATCTGGTGCAGTGCATTTTCCACCAGCAGCGAAGGAGATCAGCCTAACACAAGTGGTGCGCAGTACGAAAAGGATAGTGGCTGGTGCAGCTGCTTTTCAGGCAAGCGTTGCAGAGAAAGAGCAGATTGCTTCCTTATGCCCAGCTGGGCCTCCCCTGAAGGCTTTCCTCTTCGAGTCTGATGCACATGTCTTTGAAGATTATGCTAGACACACCATGAGCGCATTATTCTTTGTGATGTGCATCTATGCTGGACTCAGCTTCCACAATCGCTTGGCCCTTTTGGTGCCCAACCCTCACTTTCTGGAGAAGTTCCGAGATGCGTTGCAAAGACACTTCTTGACGGCACGCCTTGCAGGGCGAAACTTCAAGCTAATATCCTTCACTGATTCTCTACGCATCTTGCCAAATATCAAGGTGGAGCAGGCCACACATGCAGACAATGCAGAGCTGATAGTGCTGGACACGGTGGAGAATGCAAAGGGACTGGAGTCACTCATCGTGGTGTGCATTGGTCTGGATCAAAAGGTCGGTGAGCAAAGTGCAAATCAGGTTGGACGTTCCATTATTTATCAGGCTATCACTCGGGCGCAGCTTCAGGCAGTGATTGTGAACCAGCTCCTCCGAGGAGGTTGGCTGGAATTCTTGGGGGTCACGAAATTCAAAAGTGATACCTTCAATGAATCCACAGCTATGGCCGAGACCACCACTGCTGCTGCTGAAGCCTTGACGAAAGTGCAGCTGCCATCGAAGTTGGCCGTTCAGGCCTCGCAGGAAGCATTGCCAAGAGAGGATGCCAGGGTCCAAAGAGATGCTGAAGAGACGGGTGCTGTTGCACGTTCAAAGCCAATGTTGGAAGAAGGTCAAGACCCCACAACTGCACCTGAGGCGGGTGACAAGCCCGGTGACAAGTTGGTCGTGGAGATCAAGGATTCATCTGTGTGGGATGCCGATGTCATTGACATCAAGGAGCCGATCTCACAGCTGCAGTTTGACCCTCGATCACCCACGGGAAAAGCTGAGGAAGAGGTAGCATCCTTGGAGGTGCGGAAGTATCGTGTCTCACACTGTACACTGTCTTTGAAGTTTTGAGAGGTTTGATATGGGGGCACTTGTTTTTCATGTAGAACATGCTGTTTGCTGCTGTGCCCAAGACCCTCCGTGTGAGTTTCTTGCGATGTTGCCCATCCAAGCGGCAGGCTGAAGAAGTCCGAGAAGCCCGAGAAGCCCAAGAAGCTGCCGATGCAGAGGAAGCTGCAGAATGTCAGGGTCTTGGAGAGATTCTTCAGGATCTTACAGGATCTTGGGATATCTTGGGGTCTTAGAGGTTGAGATCTTGCAGATCATCGCTTTGAGATGCGAGATATGATTTATAAAAAATTATAAAATGATAGCGTTGAACAGCAGGCAAATACGGATTGAGTGCAAGTTGGTTGAGATGTATTCAGATGTGAATATAGACTTAGTTGAGATCTTCGGACACTTTTTTGCAACAGTTCCGTGACCCGTTTCTGAGTCTCACAATGCCATGCCTCTAACCAGTTTAGATTTTCAATTTGAGATTATCACGTGGAGATGATGACACGATAGAGCAGATCGAACATGGAAACAATGGAAGCCGCGCAACCTCACTGAGACATCATCTGTATTTGGAGGTGTGCGTTAGTTGTATGATCCACAATTCCACATCAGAGGGGCCGTGAATATAATTGGATCTAGTTTTGGCAGAGGCATTTGATCCCTTGCAAATGCCATGATGCCACCACACACCAATTACCGTACAACTGATACAATCCACACACACATTATCTGTACATATTTATATATATATATATGTACTATATACAGTCATCACTTTGACAGGAAGAAGATGGTAACACTCGCAGCTCGCATACATAGATGTCAAAGATGGAGTACAACCTGGTATAACTTGTTTGAGACGCCAAGTGACCCATAGCCCTATCAGCAAAAGGAATTGGACAAATGGATTGAGGGCCTGGCTCCACATGTGATGCTAAGATGCCAAGGGCCTTGGATCATACGTTTGAGATGGTTTGAGATGATAACATGTTAAAGTTGAACAGCTGGAAAAGTGACCTCAAAACCAGATGTTTCATGATGTTTCTATTTTCGATAGTCTTCGTATATCTTTGTTATATACAATCCAAGCATATCCAAGCCATACAATACACATCAATACACATCAATACACATCAATACACATCAATACACATCAATACACATCAATACACTACACATCAATGCACATCAATCCACATCAATACACATCAATACACATCAATACACCTCAATACACATCAATACACATCAATACACATCAATACACATCAATACACATCAATACACATCAATACACATCAATACACATCAACACACATCAATACACATCAATACACATCAATACACATCAATACACATCAATACACGTCAATACACGTCAATACACGTCAATACACGTCAATACACATCAATACACGTCAATACACATCAATACACGTCAATACACTTCAATACACATCAATACACTTCAATACACATCAATACACATCA